TGGATTACAATAAGGAAAAGTAGATACCTATCCATTTTGCCACATTCTGTGTTCTAGCCAAGTCATCGCAAGGCTGTTCCCTAGGGCCCATTCAAAGGGACCCTGAGGACATAATCAGTGTTGGGGAGAGACAGCCACTTGAGTGACAGCATCTGTGTCTCTGTATCTTACTGAAAAATATACTTTTTCAAACTCCCTCTCTGGCACCTGCTACAGCAAAGAAAATCTCCAATATTTATACCTAAGAGCTCTTATTTGAAATATGCTTATAGTTAATTTATTGCATCTTCTAAACAGATTGCCTTTACATAATTAACTAACTCAAAAGTTTTTTATTTTCGTTTTTAATATATTTTTATTGATTTCAGAGAGGAAGGGAGAGTGATAGGGAGGTAGAAACATCAGTAATGAAAGAGAATCATTGATCGCACATCCCCCACAAAAAGTTTTTAAAAATAACCCCAAGGTAGACAGAGATTTCATGAATAGATCACAAAAAGCAATAGCTATAAAGGAAAAAATTGATCATTGAACTTCATTAAAAATCATCAAAAGATCCCTGGACAGTGTGGCTCAGTATGAGAGTGTTGTTTTATACACTAAAAGGTCACAGGTTTGATTCCCTGTCATTTTTTATACACCAAAAGGTCACAGGTTCGATTCCCTGGCAGGGCACATTCCCAGATTGTGGGTTCAATCCTTAGTCAGGATGCATCTGGGAGGCATTGATGTTTCTCTCTCACATTGATGTTTCTTTCTCTCTGTCCATCTCCCTCTCTCTCTAAAATCAATTTTTAAAAAAATTGGGCGAGGATTTAAAAATAATCATCCAAAGATATCATGAAGACAGTGAAAAGGCAAGACACAAACTGGGGAAACATTTCTAATACATATATTTGAACACAAATTCATATGTAGAATATAAAAGAACTCTGACAAAGAAATTTAAAACAACAACAGCAAATGATCCAATCTTAAAATGAGCAAGATTTTAACAGGAATTTGACAAGATATCTAAATGACAATAAGTTTATGAAATGACATTGAACAATATTACTTACCAGAAAACAAATTAAAACCATAAGGATCACCTCACACCCATTAGAATGGTTACTATAAGAAAACACATCAGAAAATAACAAGTGTTGGCAAGGATGTGGGGAAACTGGAACCCTTTGTACATTGTTAAGAATGTAAAATGGTACAGTAGCTTTGGAAAACAGTATGGTGGTTCTACAAAAATTGACAATAGAATTACCATATAACCCAGCAATTCCACTTTGGGGTATGTACCCGAAAAAATGGGAAGCAGAGTCCTGAAGAAATATTTATATACCCATGTTCATGGCAGCAATTTTCACAACAGCAACAAGGTGACAGCAACCCAAGTGTCCACCAACAGACAAATGTTTAAACAAAATGTGATATATATATATAATACACACACACAATGGAATGTTATTCAGTATTAGAAATTCTGACACATGCTGCTACATGTATAAATTTTAAGGACATTATGCTGAGTGAAATAAGCTGGTTAGAAAAGAATATATATTCTGTTGTTCTACTCGTATGCGGTAATTAAAGTAGTCAAGTTCATAGAGACAGAATGGGGATTCGTTGTTTAATGGTTACCGTTTCAGTTTTCCAAGAGGTAAAGAGTTCTGGAGATGGATGGTGGTGATGGTTATAAAACAATGTGAATGTACTTAATATTACTAACTGTCAATTAAAAAATGGTTATGATGATAAATTCTATATTTTATATATTTTACCACAATTAAAATTTTTAAATTTAAAAATCCACATGGAGATCCAATATACAGCTCCCCAAATAGCTAAAATTAAAAAAGACTGACAGAACCAAGTGTTAGTGAAAATGTAATACAACTGGAATTTTTGTACACTACTTTTGGAATTTAAGCTGGTACAACCACTTTGAAAAACTGTGGCAACATCTACTAAAGCTAACTATAAGCCTACTCTATGACCCCGCAATTTCACTCTTAGAGAAATGAGTGGGAATGTGTACACACACAAAAAACATAAGCAAGAATGTTTATAGCTGCTTTATTCGTATTAGCCACACTGGAAGCAATTCAAAGATCTAATAGAAGAATGGATAAATTGTGGTATATCCATGCAATTGAATTACTATTCAACAATAGACTAGAATGAACTACAAATATGCACTATGACATAGATGAATCTTGTAGACATTGTTATATGAAAGAAGACACACAAGTTAAGAATCCCTTCTATATGATACTATTTATATGGAGCTTAATAGCAGACAAACTAGCAAGTGGAGTCTCTAAAAATCACAGTGTGGTTACTAACCTTCAGGTTGGAAGTGGGATGAAAACTGACCAGCAGTGTAAAAAGGAGGAAATCTTCTGGGGCGCTTGAAATGTTCTGTATCTTGACCTGGGTGGTTACATGAAGGAACACACATATAAAAACTACAATTTCGATTGCAGTGGTTCTCAACCTTCTGGCCCTTTAAATACAATTCCTCATGTTGTGGTGACCCCCAACCATAAAATTATTTTCGGTGCTACTTCATAACTGTCATGTTGCTACTGTTATGAATCGTCATGTAAATATCTGATCTGCAGGATGGTCTTAGGCGAACCCTGTGAAAGGGTCGTTCGCCAAAGGGGTCGCGACCTGCAGGTTGAGAACCGCTGGATTAATGCATTTTACACTGTATTTTTAAGTTACCTTAAAAATAAAATATCTCTAAAGCACTTAATGTCTCTATAATGAGAATGCTATAATTCAAAAAAGGAATAAGCCTGGTGGGTGTGGCTAAGTGGTTGAATGTTGACCCATGATACAGGAAGTCACCACTTTTGTTTGTTTGTTTCTTATTAATATGCATATTTTCTATTGTTGACACTATTGCAGATTATCTCCCACTTACCCTCTGTACTCCCCTTTGCCCAGCCCCTACCTCCCCTTCAAGTCTTCACCAACCTATTGCCTGTGTCCATGGGCTATGCATATAACTATGTAAGTTCTTTAGTTTATCTCTCCTTGTCTCTCCACCCACACATCGAGGTATGTCAGTCTGTTCCCCTTTGATTTCTGGTCAGGGCACATGCCCGGGTTGCAGGCTCAATGCCCAGTAGGGGGCATGCAGGAGGCAGCTGATCAGTTATTCTCTCTCATCATTGATGTTTCTATCTCTCTCCCCTTCCCCTTCCTCTCTCTGAAATCAATTAAGAAAAAATATCTTTAAAAAAAGGAATAAAAGCTCAACTGTGCTCTTTTCCTTTCTGACTTAGGAGATTAGAGCTTATTCCTCTTAGATACATTGGGGGATGATTAGTTACTTCCCAGTTTCCTGAGTCAGGTAATGTATCTAAGGTCCATGCAGTGCAAATTTACATGTTCCTAAATGTTCGCTAGCTTTCCTGAAGCCACTTCATATCCATGGTTTTTTGGTTTTGTTTTGTTTTTTAAGAAAGTGGTCTGGGCTCTAGCCGGCTTGGCTCAGTGTATAGAGCGTCGGCCTGCGGACTGAAGGGTCCCAGGTTTGATTCCGGCCAAGGGCATGTACCTGGGTTGCGGGCTCGATCCCCAGTGGGGGTGTGCAGGAGGCAGCAGATCAATGATTGCTGTTTCTATCTCTCTCTCCTTCTCCCTTTCTCTCCGAAATTAGTAAAGAAATACATATATGTTTTTAAAAACAAACAAACAAACAACAAAAAAGAAAGTGGTCTGGGTTTGATAGCTGAGGTCCATCTTTTTTTAAAATATATTTTTATTGATTTCAGACAGGAAGGGAGAGGGAGAGATAGAAACATCAATGATGAGAGAGAATCATTGGTTGGCTGCCTCCTGCATGCCCCCTACTGGGGATCGAGCCCACAACCTGGGCATGTGTCCTGACTGGTAATCAAAATGTGACCTCATGGTTCATAGGTTGATACTCAATCATTGAGCCATGCCAGCCAGGCCATGGGCTTTTTACAGTAAGAAACTTCGTCTTTAGTTGAGAGCTCTCAATTTGCTTTCTATGGGTTAAATGTCTAATTTGATATTTTTAAGTTTCAAGAATGGCATCTGATTTTGTTTTACACCCTCATTGGCAGGGGCTAAAAAAAAATCCCTCTTCAACTGTAAAGGCAGAATGTCAAAAATCACACGATATCATCGCATTCTGGCACTGTGATGAACACTTACACCCCCTCAGGAAAGAGAAAGCTTCATTCTCTTTAACATCCATTTTGATGCCTGATCCTTTTATAGCCAACATAATAACTTTAACCTCCTTGTGAGAGCACCGTGACCCACCATTTTAAGGAAGAAAAACAAAATCCACAAAGGTGAACCTTTCCCCCTTCTGGCTACTTCTACCATTCATAACACTGTGCTACTCAATTATTGAAAAGGGACCTTAATATTATCATAATAATTTTGTATGGTGACAGATGTTTACTAGATTTATTCTGGTGATTATATTGTAAGGAATATAACTATTGGCTATGCATGTTGTACACCTGAAACTATATATAATATTGTATGTCAACTATACTTTAATAAAAAGAAAAGCATCTTAATATACAAAATATTGCATTTTAATGATAATCAAAGGCAAATTCTTTTTAACTGTGTCATAATGAAAAAAAATTTTGACCTTGATTGTCTTTGCTCTCATATTAAACCTGTCGTAGTTCAGTCAAGTGGGTGAATTATGAAGGTACATCTTACATGTTGGGCTTAGAAAAGCAGCAAGGTAGGAGCAGAAAAATGATGAGATGGTTAAAGAGAGAAGGGCTGGTTTAAAAGAACCTGGCTTAAAAGAATACCTAATGCATTTGTATTTCGGTATTCTGCTAAGTGAGATATCAAGTCAACAATGAGATGCAGATTTTGTAAAAAGCAAACACTTGTCACATTGGCTCAACAGGATGACTGTTAAACTGTTACCCAAATGAAATTATTCATAACAATTGCAGTTTTATACAGCTTCAGGAAAAGTGTTCTTTTTTAAAATTATATTTGTCTTTTAAAAAAATATTTATTACTGAACGTATTACATAGATCCTCTTTTCCCCCCATTAACACCTTCTAGCCTGCTCCTGTTCCCCCACCCCAGGCCTTCACCACCCCATTGTCTGTGTCCATGGGTTATGCATATATGCATACAAGTTCATTGGTTGATCTCAGGAAAAATGTTCTTAAAAACAAGTATCAAGCAACAACTGGTTAAATGCAAAGGCACATGGTCACAAACAGTACTTCTCTTTTAGAATGATAAAAAAGAATGCAACAATGAGATCAAGCCTTTTTATTTAAATACATTGTCTGAAACAGAATAAACATGTCTTCTCCTCTGAGACCACCTCAAAGTGCTTCACTTCATAAAAGTCTGTATAAATGTCGATAGTGGAATGCAATAATTATAAAACCAGATAGGTGGCTTAATTGTTTTACATACCTGTGGTTTTGTCAGATTCCTGTGCTTGCTTACTCGTGTATATGCGGTCTTATTTTTCAGAAACCACTTCTAGAAGCTCCCATTTTGGCTTCTGCACTGCCACCTGTAGACATAAAAGGGAAATAAATAATGTATTATTCATCAATCGTGCATCTTTTCTAGGCATCTATCAGGGACATTTGGGGAGAAAAGTGGCAAAATCTTGGCTTCAGGAAATAATAGTGCTCTTTCTCCTGTGTGGAAAATTAGTAAGGAGACCCTCTCCCCCCAATGATTTGATAAATTATTTAGAAATCAAAGCATATATAAGTCTCAGATCAACACTACGCTGATCAGTTCATTAAAGTAAGAGGTGGAGTTATAGAACCCATCCACAGGCCAACCTACAACCATTTCAAGACCTGTCCCTTAAAATTAGAAGATAACTTCACCATTTTGCTAATCGAGTAATCAAAAATTCTGTAAATTCTCATGAAGAAAAGAGAGGGAGAGATCTAGGAAAAGGTTACTTTGTCACATGATTGTAAAATGTCCGTTTAAAATAATAATATTAATTCTAACATGAACTAGAGCTTTGTCCAATATAAACAGACTAGGTGGGGTATTTACTGCTGTATTCCTAGTTCGAATGTGAATGAATGCTGAAAGATCTTTAGGACACCCCACAGATTTTAATACAGATAGGTCTTTTTTTCTTCTTTAAAAAAAGTCAAATGAATAAAAATTCGTGAGCATAGCAAGCAATTAATAAAGATCCATAAGAAACTATTAGTGAGTCAAAGCAGCCATGAAATGAGATCTGTAAGAGGATTGGGGGGGGGGGATGAGAGATTAAGAGAGATGAGACTGAGAGACAGGAGATTGAGAGACAAGATACTGAGAGAGACAAGAGAGATTGAGAGTGATGGAGATGAGAGACTGAGAGAGATACACAAGATTGAGAGACAAGAGAGACTAAGAAAGACCAAAGAGATTGAGAGTGAAGGAGATTGAGAGTGAGAGGAGAGAGAGAGAGAGAGAGAGAGAGAGAGAGAGAGAGAGAGATTGAGAGAGAGAGAGAGGA